TTTTCCCTCCATTGACCCTCTCCAGCCCGCCCCCACTACCCCTTCCCCCAACCCAGGCCCTTACTGCCCCATTGTATGTGGCCAAGGGCCATGCATATATGCATACAGTATTCTTGGTTGATTACTTCCCACCTACCCACCCTCCCCTGCCTTCCCTCTGAGATTCCACTCTGTTCCATGACTCCATGTCTCTGGATCCACTCTGTTCTTCAGTTTATTTTGTTACTTAGATTCCACATATGAGTGAGATCATGTAATGCTTGTCTTTCTCTGACTGACTTATTTCACTTAGCATGATACTCTCCAGGTCCCTCCAAAGGGTAAGAGATTTTTCTTTTTTTACCGTTGCATAGAATTCCATGGTATAAATCTCCCACAGCTTTTTTTTTTTTCTCAGTTGATCAGCAGCCTAGCCAGGATCTCTAGCCAAGTTCTGGTCAGGATCTCCAGCCAGGTTCTGTAGCCATGTTCCCTCGCTAGGTTCTCCCGCCAGGTTCTGTCCAGGTTCTCCAGCCAGGTTCAGTCACCAGGTTCTAGTCAGGTTCTCTTGCCATGTTCTATCCAGGTTCTGTCTCTAGGTTCTGTGTCTACCACAGCTTTTTTATCCACTCATCTGCTGATGGGCACTTGGGCTGTTTCCAGATCTTAGCTGTGGTAAATTGTGCTGCTATGCACATAGGGGTGTACACATTCTTTCTGATTGGTTTTTTGGGTCTCTTACGATATATTCCTAGAAGTGGGATCACTGGGTCAAATGGCAGTTCCATATTTAATTTTTTGTGGAAACTCCATACTGTTTTCCATAATGGCTGCACCAGTCTGCATTCCCACCAGCAATGTACTAGGGTTCCCTTTTCTCCACATCCTCACCAGCACTTGTCATTTATTGATAATAGCCATTCTGACAAGTGTGAAGTGATACCTCTTTGTCATTTTAATTTGCATCTCTCTGATGATCAGTGACTTTGAGCATTTTTTCATATGGCTCTTGGCCATCTGTATGTCCCCTTTGGAGAAGTACCTATTTAGATCCTTTGCCCATTTTTTAATTGGATTGTTTGTCTTCCTTTTGTTAAGTTGTATGAGTTCCTTATATATTTTGGGCATTAGCCCTTTATCAGATGTATCTGATATGTCCTCCCATAGAGTGGACTCCCTTTTTGTTTTGTTGTGGTTTCTTTTGCTGTGCAGAAGCTTTTTATTTTGATGTAATTCCATTTGTTTATTTTCTCCTTAGATTCCTTTACCCTGGGAGATGTATCCGTAAACATATTGCTATGAGAGATGTCTGAGATTTTGCAGTCTATGGTTTCTTCTGGATTTTTATGGTTTCACAACTTACACTTAAGTCTTTTACACTTTTTGAGTTTATTCTTGTGTATAGTATAAGTTGGTGGTCAAGTTTCATTTTTTTGCCTGTATCTGTCTAATTTTCCCAACACCATTTATTGAAGAGACTGTCTTGACTCCATTGTATGCTCTTGCCTCCTTTGTCAAATATTAATTGAGCGTAATGGCTTGGGTCAGTTTCTCGGGTCTCTGTTCTGTTCCATTGATCTATATGCCTATTCTTAAAAACTAAAGAAAGGTTGACTTTCTATTATTTTATTTTTGCCTATCAGGTTAGCAAAGAAACTTGGCAATACTGATTATTCCTTGAACATGCCAAGTTTGTTCCCACTTCCCTGCCTTTGCTTTCATACTGTTGCCTGGAATGCTTTTCTTTCTCATCATTTAGTTCTTGGCTTAACGATTACATCCTCAGGTGTTCCTGACCACACCAGCCGGAGTGGCATCCCCGGGCTCCCCTGCAAGAATCTTGGTCACTTGTTATTTAAAGTTCTATCAGAATATGAGCTCCCTGAGGGCAAGGGCCTCATCAGTTGTGGTCAGTGGTATATTCACCTCTTCTCTTGACCTGTGTGTCCTTGGGCAAAACTCTTCTTTCTGAATTTCAGTTTCTTCATTGTAAAGTGGAGATCATACTCACTGTGGAAGGGTCAGAGGTCCTATGTGTCTGTAAATATTCATCCCAGTATCTGACCTGTATCAGGTACTGAATAGGTCATCGTATACTTTCATGTCCTTCCTTTCTTGGTAAGTGTATGTTTCCTATGAATGGACGTGTTTTAATTTAGTTGGTCTTTTCCCTAATTATTGGGTATTTCCAGCTTTCTGGGTTTTTTAAAATTTTTTTGTTTTGTTAATCCTCACATGAGGACATTTTTTCCATTGCTTTTCAGAGAGAGTGGAAGGGAGTGGGGGAGAGGGAGAGAGATAGAAACGTTGAGGTGAGAGAGCCACATCTACTGGTGGCCTTCTGCACATGCCCCGACCCAGGGCTCAGAGCAAACCGGCAACCCAGGTACATGCCCTTGACCACTGAGCCACACCAGCCATGGCTCTTTCTGCTTTTTGCTAATGTTGATGTCACTGCAGCAAACATCTTGCTGTGTTCTTCTTCTGGATTATTCCTTAGAATTAATTTCCAGAAGGTTACCAGGTCAGACTGAGTACTGTGTGGTATTGACTACTATCGTACTTTACCCCCCTTCTCCAGAATAGTGCATAGGAGGAGCTCAGTGACAGTCTGTTGAATGAACGATGATCTCATATGTGCATGACCCACTGTACTGTACTCTCATGTAGCCCTGTCCTTTTACACAGGCTCCAGATTTTAGAGGCAACAGACTCTTTGCCATTATGTAGGAGGAATTTGTTTGCCCTTCTCTCCAGCATTTGAGAGTATTACATCATAGGGGAGTGGATGGCAGTGACTGGATTGTTGTTAGCCTTGTGCCTACTAGAAAGACAATAATTCATTGTGCTGTTTCCATCCAATGTTTAGAAACTCCCCTCCCAGGCCAACTCATTAGCTTCTGGGGGTGGGGAACCACTCTTTTGGAGAAAGGAACCTCTATTTCCAACATGGTCCAACTCTCAGCTTTGGGGGAGCTTCTGGCTGGATCCTGGACCTATCTGGAAGGGGCCTCCAGAAAACACACACTTCAAGGCCAGTTTCCCATCCACAGGAAGAGTTAGACCTACTTCAGCTGAGCAGTTGTTTATTGAGTCCCTATTCTGCAAACCATTCTAGGGACTCTTAAGTAATAAAATACCTAATGCATCGCCAGAGAGGTACGATTTAAGAGTTTGCAGAGCCAGAAGTAGCAGACTCCACTGAGTTGGGGATCAGTAAAGGCTTTTTGGAGGATGTAATGGTTTAGATGATCTAGAAGAATTTGTTAGATTTCAGCAGAGAAGAGGCCTGGTTAGGACACAGGAAGGTATGTAATGTAGGTGGAGAGTGGAGGAAAAGGTAAAAGATGCAATAATAATAGAGAATGCCTTGCATGGCAGGGTGAGGAACCAGATGTCTGATTGTCCCCTCTGTTTACAAACTCCATGTGCCAGAATATCCCCCCTGACTGGTTTCTGGAGAATCAGGATTAAAGAACCCCTACCCCAGGCACATTTCCTGTGGCGATGAGCCATGCATCACACTGTCTCAGATGCTAGGTTATTAAGCACTGAGTCTATCCTCATGGGGTCATTTTGTTTCCTTTGGAATGTTTTCAGTTGTGCTGTTTGGGCTACAAATAGCAGTGTATCTCCTTCCTGTTAGACACCACTGTTTGCGTTTTTTCAGAGCATCAGCGTCCTGTCTCCTAGGTATACCAGATACATGAGTCATGGATGTGTCTATACTCTTAGGAATGGTATTTATATTCTGCTCCCAAATAGCTGAGACAGGAGGGATAATAGTGCCTGGTAGGCAAAGGGCCAAGAGGAGCCCTGCCCCATCCTGGGGGTGTGAGTAGATGATTTAGGTGCTGGTAGTGGCTTGGGCACCACGCTAAACAGACCTGGGAGCTTTGAGGAAGTGCCACGTGCCCAGGTGTTACTTGTTTGTTGTTGGAAGATGAATGTGTGATTCATCTGTCAAGGGTATGAGTGAATTAATCCAGCCTTCCTGGCCCTTCCTAACCTTGGTCTTGTTCTATCTGGCAGGCAGAAGTGGAGGAGACACTGAAGCGACTTCAGAGCCAGAAGGGAGTGCAGGGAATCATCGTGGTGAACACAGAAGGTACACCCCGCTCCCATCATGACCAGCACGCAGGCAGGCCCCCAAAACAGCCCAAACACAGCATAACACTTGCTGTTTACTAAGCCCCTTCATGTACATGAATTTTTACTTTTTTAAAAAATAAATACTTTTATTGATTTCAGAGAGAAAGGGAGAAGGAGAGAGAGACAGAAACATCAATGATGAGAGAGAATCATGGATCAGCTGTCTCCTGCACGCCCCCGACTGGGGATCAAGCCCACAACCCGGGCACGTGCCCTTGACCGGAATCAAACCTGGGAACCTTCAGTCTGCAGGCCAACGCTCTATCCACTGAGCCAAACCAGCTAGGGCATCACCTTTGTTTTTTAACATCTCAAGTGTCCTAGCACTATTATTGAAATTCTAAATTTTAAAAAAGGTAAAATTCACCCAGTCCTACTGCCCTGACAGGTCATACTTTTCAATATACCATGTTTTTTCAGCCCTTGTTCAGGTGCATTTTCTCTTGGTTATAATTATAGTTATTAACTCTTTTGCATATGTTTACTCATGAGGTTTGTTTGTTTTGCTTCATGTTTTACATAAACAAATTTTTTTAACTGCCAGTACAATTTTTTTAATACATATTTTACTGATTTAGAGAGAGAGGAAGGAAGAGATGGAAAGAAACATCGATGAGAGAGAAACATCGATAGGCTGCTTCCTGCATGCCTCCAACTGGGGATCAAACTGGCCACCTCAACCACTGAGCCACACTGGCTGGGCAGTATAATGTTTATTAATCATCCCCACTTATATTGTTTCTGATTTTTTGCTAGATAATACTCTGGTCAACTTCTTTGTTCCTAAAGCTTTTCCCTTCTGTTCTGGAACATTATTTCCACAACTAGAAGAGTACAGATAACTGATTTTCTCAAACTGCTATAGACATGGCAAAGAGGGAGACTAATTAATTTCTTACACACCTACCTATTCTGTGGTGCTTTATGAACATTCTGTTTTATTTCTTCCTTAAAACAGCCCTTTGCCTCCATTTGCAATGGAGAAAACTGAGTCTAGAAATTCAGTTGATTTGCCTGCCGTTACAGAGCCAAGATTTCATTGCACGTCTGTCTGAATGCAGTTGTACTCTTCCTCTCACTTCCTGTGAAGGACCAGAGAGTGGCTGTAGGTCTACAGCTCATGGCCACCCTGCTGGCCTCCCCAAGTTCTGTAGTTCAGTGTCTTCATTCATCTCTGATTTATTTGAGGTTCCTTGAGGGCCCCTGTGTGTGTGCATTGTCATTCTGGGCCGTGTTTTGGAAAGGCAGAATTCTCAACAGTGCCTGCCTCTGTAGAGCAGAATGAAGGTCATGGCAGGTGACAAAGTGGGGGTGGCATGTCCTCGTTAGAATGTTGTTTTCCAAGTCATTAGACCTTGGCCAGCCCAGAGTTAGACAGAGGATGCTCCCCAGCTTTGTCAGGTTCTAATTAGACCACGTGGTCATTGCATTCAAAGGAGGCAGCAGGTTGGGAGCGCTCAGGACTCTGTGGAGGCGGAAGCAGGTCCCGGGGTAGGTCTGCTACTGACCAGCTGGCAGCTGGGGCTTCCCCTTCTCTTCAGACCTCTGCTGCCCCACGTGGAGTGGCTGGTCCAAGACCTGAAAGGCTGTTTGCATGTCACTCAGAGAGATACTGTCTCCTGTGACTGGACTTTTTTTTAAATCCCCTCCCAGGGACATGCTTTCGTTGATTTTAGAGAGAGAGAATGGGAGAGGGAGAGAAAGAGAGAGAGAGAGACATCGACGTGAGAGTGAAACATCAAACAGGGTCTCCTGCATGCGCTCAACCAGGGATTTAATCTGCAACCAGGGTATATGCCCTGATTGGGCATCAAACCCACATCCTTTCAGTGTACAGGACAGCACTCCAGCCAACTGAGCCACACTGGCCAGGACTGGGCCTGGACATTTTGACCCCAAATGGGAAGGAGCAGCCTCAGACGATGACTCCTCAGCTGGGACCCCAAGGCCTTCACTAGTATTTGCAAACCATAAGCCTTCATTCCTGCCTTAAAACTGCCCAAAAGCTGAGCTTTTTCATTGGGAACGTGTAGTGCCAGCTGCTTACCTTTTGATACTTTGAGCACTTTTTGTATAATAATGTGGCAGTATTGCACAGTGGTAAAGAATATGGAATGGGGAGCCAGACTACCTGTATGTGAATCCTGACTCTACCTACTTATCATCTGTGAAATCTTGGACAAGTCACTTAACCTCTCTCTTTCAGTTTCTCATCAGTAAAATATAATCATACTACCTTCCTCTAAGACAGCGGTTCTCAACCTGTGGGTCGAGACCCCTTTGGCGGTCGAACGATCCTTTCACAGGGGTCGCCTAAGACCATCCTTCATATCAGATATTTACATTACGATTCATAACAGTAGCAAAATTACAGTTATGAAGTAGCAACAAAAATAATTTTATGGTCGGGTAAAAACATGAGGAATTGTTTTAAAGAGCCAGAAGGTTGAGAACCACTGCTCTAAGAGAAGCTTTTAGAGTAGTGTCTGATACATAGTGCCATGTAAATGTTAAAATTATTGTGTGTGTGTATTTTTATGTTCCATTCATAGAACTCACTCTTCAATCTCTCATTTACATTTCACACAGTGACCCCGCAAGACAGGGTTGTTTGCCCATTTTTCAGATGAGAAAACTGAAGCAGGTCTAGCCGGTTTAGCTCAGTGATTAGAGCATCGGCCCATGGACCAATTGGGAGGCAACCAATCGATGTCTTTCTCACATCGATATTCCCCCCCCCCTTTTCACTCTCTCTAAAAAAAAAAAATCAATGGAAAAATATCCTCGTGTGAGGATTAAAGAAAAAAAAAAAGACCTGAGAGAGGCGAGGAGACCTGCCCAAGGTCACCCAGCTGTGGTTGGGTGGCCAGAACTCACTGCTCATGGGGCCTTTAAGTCCTTTGGAAGCTTTCAATTAAGGATGATTTAGCTCAGCTGCCTTTTCCTACGGCTGCCTTCCCTGACCACCAGCCCAGAAAGATTGCTCTTGCTCCTGAACTCATGACACACCCTTGTTTCAATCACTTACCACCATCTACCACTGCATTTTGACATTTCTGTCTTGAGCAAATGCAAATGAGTTTCATTATAAAAGTGTGACTTTAAGCAGACTTAGCAAGAACTTAAGTAACATTCTGTTCCATTTCTACCTCTCCAGATCCCCTGCTGTCCTCTGTTGCTACCTACACAGGGCAAAATAAAAGACTCAATGTGTAAGCTCCAGGAGGTCAGGGATTTATCTCTTGTGTTCACTTACTGTATCTCCAGCACCTGAGTTTGTGCTTAATAACTGTGTTAAATTTTGTTGGTGTTGGTATTGATTGATGGAGCTGGGTTTGGTGGAAGGACCTGCCTATGCAACCTGACAGATCTGAGCCTCAGCTTAGAATTGTGCCTCCCTCGTACCAGCCAGCTGTGTAGGCTGCAAGTTTCTATTTGTGAAGGCAGTGGCTTGGGGTAGGCGGCCTCATCATTGACATATCTTTGAAGTGGCCCCAGCTCTGGCATCCTATGAATCTGGCATTCTGTGATCTGATTCCCTTACTTGAAATTCTCTCCAGTTCTGCCCCACCACCACCTTCATGTTTTCTTAGGTTTTTAAAATGAGCCAACAAGTGGTTAGATCCTTGTCTCCTTTACACCTCCTCTCACTTGGTAGGAATGTAATCAAATGCATTTCTAAATTACTGAAAGTAGCCCTGTGACTTCTCATTTATCAGCAACCATAAATGCTTAGTGCAGTGTTTCTAAGGACACTGGCAAAAAATCAGACCTCGTCCTGTCTAGGGATGAACATAAAGGTGTGATGTCAGCCGAAACCGGTTTGGCTCAGTGGATGGAGCGTCGGCCTGCGGACTGAAGGGTCCCGGGTTCAATTCCGGTCGGGGGCGTGTGCCTGGGTTGCGGGCACGTCCCCGGTGGGAGATGTGCGGGAGGCGGCTGATCGATGTCTCTCTCTCATCGATGTTTCTAACTCTCTATCTCTCTCCCTTCCTCTCTGTAGAAAATCAATAGAATATATTTTTTAAAAAAAAGGTGTGATGTCAAACTCAACTAAATGCTCCGAAGGAAAATTGTGTGGTGCTGGGATGGTAGAATGGGGCATTGACCATATCTGGGGTGGGTGGAGCCACCATGAGGTGGAGACCTGAGGGACCAGTAGGAGTTGAGAGAGAATAGACGAAGAAAGGGAAGTTCCAGGCAGAGGAACCCGAGAGAAGGTGGCCTTCTATATAAAAGAGAAGGTCAAGACTTTTGATCACCTAAACTTTTCCAGGCCTTGAGACTGGCTGCTCAAGTTACCTGGGGGTGGGATTTATTGTGGATGATATTGATAACAAACCACCAACATTTATTACATACACTAGAGACCCTGTGCACAGATCCATGCACTGGTGGCGGGGTGTGGCCTGCGGGGATCGGCTGCTGTGGGAGTGCCGCTCATCCCGGTCAGCCAAGTGGCACTCCCACTATGGGAGCCCACCGACCACCAGGGGGCAGCTCCTGTGTTGAGTGTCTGCCCCCTGGTGATCAGTGCACATCATAGTGACTGGTCGACCGGTCGTTCTGGTCATTTCGCCATTCGGTCGCTGGGCTTTTATTATATAGGATACTCTTGCTAAACATTCTTAAACCATATTTAATCCCCACAGCAGCACTTTGAAGCACAGGCATTTTACAGATGAGGAAATAGAAGAATAAAATAAATCACTTGTCTAAGGCCACATCGCCATGAAGGGGAAAAGCAGGGGTATAAGTTCAGGTCATCAGATTTCAGAGTTTCTACTCAGTCATCACTGCAGTTGCTCATACTATGATTCTTAGAAAAGTCCAATATCAAGCACGGCCCTGGTGGGCACCTTGTTGCCAGCTAGGGCCCAACAGCACCCCTGATAACCTAGTTGTCTTGTCTCTTAAAGGCAAGTGATCACTACAACTTGTTCTTATGACTTCAATTGGCTCAAACAGCCTCACTGACTCAGCTGCTTCTCTTGTCACTATGTCATCTTCTGCCTACTCTTGTGTTCCTGTGCCCTAAGAAGACAAGGTTGGGCCAGTTTCTTGCCACTCATGGGTAGGCCTGAGGGTAACTGCCATTGGCTGATCTTTAAACTGCTCAGTTGCGGACCAGATTAGCAGGGCCTGGGTCCCAAATCCAGCCACTTACGTGTGAGGAGCCACTTGTGCCATATTCATCCAAGTATCTGTCATCTGTGTACACCTGGAGCCTCATTGATGGAGCCTTCTGTTGGCATGACAGTGATTCATAGGCACCTGATGACCCAGTCATGGCCTGAGGTCACTCAAGCTGAGCCCCATACCTCACCTCCATGACAATAGGCACTGTCCTATGAGGGAGATCCATGGAATAGTTCATCACAAGGAAACAGTCTTTAAAATAGAAGAGGCTTAAAGGACAGTGGTGTTCATTGAACAGCAATTAAGTAAAAAACCCAACCTTAGTATCAAACAGTAGAGGCATGATGAATTCAGTGGAATGGCCATTTTGTGGGCTCTTTGAAAGCAGTAACAGCCAAAACCGGTTTGGCTCAGTGGATAGAGCGTCGGCCTGCGGACTGAGGGGTCCCGGGTTTGATTCCGGTCAAGGGCATGTACCTGGGTTGCGGGCACTTCCCCAGTTGGGGATGTGCAGGAGGCAGCTGATCGATGTTTCTCTCTCATCGATGTTTCTGGCTCTCTATCTCTCTCCCTTCCTCTCTGTGCAGGATCAATAAAATATATTTAAAAAAAAAAAAAAAAGAAAGCAGTAACAATGCTGGTTACAAGGGTGTAAGCAGACAGAGAAATGGGCTTTAATTGTCATGTGTACAGACAGTGTGGACAAGAAGCCGCCCTTGGTGGGCATAGGAACGACACGCTACTGATGGTTACGTCTTGGCCCGAACCGGCCTTTCTTCTTCCTACTCATCTGTGTTTCAAGATATGTAAGTGCTGTCCTCCTCATTCAGGTTCTGAATGATAGTCTCCTCTGTTGCCAGAAACTAGTCAGGACAGGGGAGCCCTAAGAAAGGAGCCCAGCAGTGGAGCCAGCGGGCCTGAATCGAATCCCGGCCCCCGCTTACTGCTGTGTGACCATGAGCAGGTCACCTTCTGCTCAGAGGGTTTTTTTTGCCTCATTGGCAAGTGGAGATGCTGACACCACCCTCAGTAGTTCTGGGGACCAGCAGTGAAGTGCTCAGAGAGACAGGACTGTGCCTGCCAAGCTTTCGGTAAATAGCGGCATTGACTGTTAGCTGCCAGCCCAGGACTCTAGAACTGCGGGTGTGGGGCTGGGAGCTGGCAGCAAGGCCTCAGCATCCTGCTCAGTCCCTGTCTGCCCTCACACAGGCATTCCTATCAAGAGCACCATGGACAACCCCACCACCACCCAGTACGCCAGCCTCATGCACAACTTCATCCTGAAGGCCCGGAGCACCGTGCGTGAAATTGACCCCCAGAATGACCTCACTTTCCTTCGAATTCGCTCTAAGAAAAATGAAATTATGGTTGCGCCAGGTAAGAGGTCTTCCGTGTCCCCTCTTAGGATCAGGCTATCACTACTGCTTATCAGGAAGGCTTAGCACATGGGTGTCTCCTCAGGTTCCACAGAAAAGCCTGAGGAGTTGAAGGTACAGAGTTGATTGCCTCTCTGTCTGTCCATTCTCTGGCTGGCATCCCCGACAAATACTCATTTACAGTGACTGTGGGTCAGACCTTCTCCTGGGTTCTGGGCCTTGGAGGGGAATCGTGGTCTCATGGGGGAGGTAGACATGTAAGCATGACACAGTGTAACCCTCGCCCTTGCTGTGGGGATATTCGAGCTTAGGAACAGCGAGGGTGTGACTAGGCCTGCTTGGGGCAGTCAGCCGAGGCTTCCCAGAAGAGGGGACATTCAGCTGAATCTTGAGGGTATAGAAAAGTGTAAGCAAAGTGGACGGGCAGGAAACCTAGGCTTGAAGGGAAAAGATTTGGTGATTCCTAACCAAAGCAGAAGGCAAAAATACTGTATAGTCATTTTATCTTTGAGAAAATGTTCAGTTACCCACTTCTAAAGTATAGTCCTGTCTCTCTGGGCCTCATACAGCCAGCTTTTCCTCCAACATGGGAACCGATTGCTGTTTTTATTTCACATGAAGTGCGTGGCTTGCATTTGGGGGTTGAGTGGTACAAACATCTGTCTTTAGGTCATAGGATCATTCCCAGGGTGATGAGGTGCTCATCCTGGGAGGATCCCACAAGGATGGGACTACAGGAGGGAGCAGAGCCACCTGTCCTGCCTCACCTCACTCCGCATTCAGACTGGATGGTGGGCAGGTTCTCCAGGACTTTTGTTGTGTTAATCCTCTCCTGAAGATACTCAGGGAAGGGGAGGGACAGAGAGATACATCAATATGAGAGATACATATTGATTGGTTGCCTCCCACATGCCCTTGACCTGCACTAGGGATTGAGCCTGCAACTGAGGTATGTGCCCTTGACCAAAATAGAACCCCTAATCCTTCCGTTAGTGGGCCAACACTCTAACCACTGAGCCAAACTGGTTAGGGCCAGGACTATTTTGGCATGGCTACTTCTCTCTCTCCCTCTATTTTCTGAGCCACATTGTTGTGTGCATGAGTTAATTGTGCACCTGAAAAGGCAGGTGGGCTGCAGAGCAGTTTGTCCAGCAGTGGTCGGCAAACTGCGGCTCGCAAGCCACATGTGGCTCGCGAGCCGCTGTTTGCCGACCACGGGTCTAGGGCATCAGAATATATGTCAGAAGGAGTGGGAGGTGAAACGTTTGATCCAATTTAGGCCTCAAACACAAAACTTGACTGTGCAGACTTGACCCTGTGAGCAGGAGGCAATATGATTGTGCCTGGGACCTAGGTGAAGAAGGCAGTATGGAGGCTAGGCACACTGAATGCCCCTGGGCTTGCCAGACAGATGGCAAAGAGACTGGCTATAGAATTCTGGGGTGATTTGATGGGGGTAGAGGGGGCCACACACTCCCAGCAGCAGAGCCATATTGGTTCTGATCCCAGCCCAGTCTGGCAGCTTGGAAGGATGTGAAGGAGGGAACCATAGAGCCAGTCACAGGAACCGCAGTCTCCCTGGGACACTTCCTGGCGGGGTGGGGACAGAGTAGGTCAATCCAGAAAAGAACATGGGATAACGTGCTGTACACTGTTGATCTATTTAATCACTGTCTGGTGATGTCGCTGATTCTGTCAGAGAAAACAGATTGTAGCAGGCAGAGTTCATTTTCTCAACTTCAGCTCTTCATGATTGTGACCTTAAACAAGTCATAGAACATCCTGAACCTCTATTTTCACATCTGAAAGTATCACAGGGGGCTGTACGGCTCTGGCCCTCTGAGACACCCCATCTGGTTGAGTATGTTGGCAGGGGGTAGAGCAGAAAGGCTCAGAAGCAGATGGACTCCCTCCCAAGATTCTTGCTGTGCGACTATAGATAACTCTGCTTCCCTAAAAGTTAGGCCAGGAACGGTCCCTTTACTGACCTGCACATCAGAGCACTGTACACGGGACTCTCAGTGTGAGGCAAGGACAGATTATGCAATCTCTACATCAGACAGGTCCCATGGACCGTGTCTCTTGACATAAAGCTTCAAGAACGTCTCCTCTGGAACAGCAGTTATCTGAAAGCTCCTGGCCGTTTGTCCCATCTCAGCAGCAAAGGCATCTCCAACTTGCCCTTGAGGAACCCCCAGACTTTCAAAGCACAGGGGTGCATTTGGTGTTTGAGTCCAGTTAGAGGTTCTCCTTTGGGTGCACAGGCCCAGAAGCCCCTCAGCCTTGTCAGTGGAGGCGAGGAGGAAGTGGCCAGACCCTTGCCCTGGTGACATTAAGAGCCTGCAGGGAGGGCATGCATGCGCTCTCACTTGCTCACTCGCTGTCTGTCCAGCACTCACATCCTCATGGCCACCACACACACCTTGTTACCCTGGCGGGATGTGTGACAGTACCGACTTCTGCACATGGGCCATGAAGTTTCAATCGCACTGTACGTGTCGTGCCCACATGTGGTATTTTGTGGAAGAGCCATACTCAAGGGGCCAAAGAGCCGCATATGGCTCGCGAGCCGCTGTTTGCCGACCACGGGTCTAGGGCATCAGAATATATGTCAGAAGGAGTGGGAGGTGAAACGTTTGATCCAATTTAGGCCTCAAACACAAAACTTGACTGTGCAGACTTGACCCTGTGAGCAGGAGGCAATATGATTGTGCCTGGGACCTAGGTGAAGAAGGCAGTATGGAGGCTAGGCACACTGAATGCCCCTGGGCTTGCCAGACAGATGGCAAAGAGACTGGCTATAGAATTCTGGGGGGATTTGATGGGGGTAGAGGGGGCCACACACTCCCAGCAGCAGAGCCATATTGGTTCTGATCCCAGCCCAGTCTGGCAGCTTGGAAGGATGTGAAGGAGGGAACCATAGAGCCAGTCACAGGAACCGCAGTCTCCCTGGGACACTTCCTGGCGGGGTGGGGACAGAGTAGGTCAATCCAGAAAAGAACATGGGATAACGTGCTGTACACTGTTGATCTATTTAATCACTGTCTGGTGATGTCGCTGATTCTGTCAGAGAAAACAGATTGTAGCAGGCAGAGTTCATTTTCTCAACTTCAGCTCTTCATGATTGTGACCTTAAACAAGTCATAGAACATCCTGAACCTCTATTTTCACATCTGAAAGTATCACAGGGGGCTGTACGGCTCTGGCCCTCTGAGACACCCCATCTGGTTGAGTATGTTGGCAGGGGGTAGAGCAGAAAGGCTCAGAAGCAGATGGACTCCCTCCCAAGATTCTTGCTGTGCGACTATAGATAACTCTGCTTCCCTAAAAGTTAGGCCAGGAACGGTCCCTTTACTGACCTGCACATCAGAGCACTGTACACGGGACTCTCAGTGTGAGGCAAGGACAGATTATGCAATCTCTACATCAGACAGGTCCCATGGACCGTGTCTCTTGACATAAAGCTTCAAGAACGTCTCCTCTGGAACAGCAGTTATCTGAAAGCTCCTGGCCGTTTGTCCCATCTCAGCAGCAAAGGCATCTCCAACTTGCCCTTGAGGAACCCCCAGACTTTCAAAGCACAGGGGTGCATTTGGTGTTTGAGTCCAGTTAGAGGTTCTCCTTTGGGTGCACAGGCCCAGAAGCCCCTCAGCCTTGTCAGTGGAGGCGAGGAGGAAGTGGCCAGACCCTTGCCCTGGTGACATTAAGAGCCTGCAGGGAGGGCATGCATGCGCTCTCACTTGCTCACTCGCTGTCTGTCCAGCACTCACATCCTCATGGGCCCCCCAACACACACCTTGTTACCCTGGCGGGATGTGTGACTTTTCCAGGTGCCTTAGACACAGTGTTCCTTCTGAACACCCTGACCACTTCTCCAGCCACCCTGCTGCCTTTAGGAGCCTCTCCCTCACACATGCCGTCCTGCTGCTGGCGACACTCCTTTCCACTTGGCTAACCAGCCTCCTTATCTGCATTTTTAATTCTGTCTCCTCCACTAGACAGTTTCAAGAGTACAGAAACTTGTGACCACATTTGACAAATATTTATTGAATAAATAAATGAAAGACTTCCTAAACCTCCCTCCATTGCTATACCCCACTGTGGGGTTGGAGGTGGGGTCAGCAGTAGAGATGGGGATCAGGGATGTCCGTGGGACATGTTATTTAGGATGAAAACCAGTGATTTGACATCTTGACACAACCACTTTGATATGGCAAGAAAAATACACTGCCAGCAGAGCCTCGGAGGCATTAGGCTGGATCACCTTAGGGTGGCCAGAGAGCACAGGCCCCATGGGGGCAGCGCCCAGCAGAGAACAGCCTGGCTGCCGTGTGTTTTTGAGGTGGGTCCTTCCTGGACTGTAATTAGCACCCCTTATTGTGGGAGCAACCTAGCGCAGCCCTGCCCAGGAAGGAGGTTCATGTCCCTCTCCTCCCACCTACGCTTCCTCATTGAACTGTGGAGACCAAAATAGCAGCAGGTGGTGTCAGACAGTGTGGATCTCCACACTCGTACCAAATTTCACCCCATCCAGGCCCAGAATAGCCCACATGAAGAGATGTTTTCAGACAGAGTTGGTTTTCACTTGTTAACCTCCCTAATGTAAAACTGAGTTGACAGCATAATCAAGCTTTAAAACTCTGCTTCCTGCAAAACACTTGGAGTGATGTTATTGAATTAGAGCTTGATTTTTTTTTTGGAAGAAAAGACACTAGTTTTGCTAATTTTGTCCGCTTTTATCGGTGGCTTTAATTATTTTTATTAGTAAGTGATTATTTACTTAGATTTCTTAGTCATGAAACTATCAGTCATATAAGATCTGCTTCTCCCAGTCCCATCAGCCAGCCGTCATGGGAAACAGCTAACATTAGGCTTCAGTCAGCAGACAGAAAGCGCGTGTG